AAGCAAATCTAAGGATGAACGAAGGGCATACAGGCCCATGCCCACCACTCAAACATTCTTATTTAGCAGGAAACAACTTGTTATTCCTTAGGTGTGACCGAGCGATTTCCAGTGTGAAGTTGAATTTGAAACCCACGCGAGGTGATACGGCTAACTAAAATTATGAATAAAAAAATAAGATGTGAATCAGTAATCAGAATAAGTTCTCGATTCATTTTAATTCTATTTTTCTTGAAGAATCTCACTGAAGAAGCAAAACTGATGTCAGTCTCGAGGCAGCTGATCTACTTCACTGTTGTGAATGGAGCTTTTGAAAGATTGACACTGAATTGGCTGTGCAATGTGGCTACATTTGAGGTTTGTCTTAGCGTGCGACTTTATTTTTATGGCTTCTTAAAACTGATCGTCTTGCCGTTTTTTGGGATGGGGTAAAATGGCTTCGCAACTGAAAACAGTTCTTCACTTGGGGGTTACCTTTCAAGATAATTGCTATTAAGTTTCTCAAGTTGGCCAATCAAATTCATTTCTTTACCTGAACTTTGCTGTCCGAACAGTAGATCGTGACCCCTAAAATAGTGATTCCCAAAACCATGTTTCCTTGATTTGGAAAAGTGTGTTGGAACTCCCTGAACTGTTTGCATAATTATGATGAATCCATTTTGATTTAAAGGAGGAGAATGGCTTTTTAGGGCTCACACGAATTGTTGTTGATCGTTTCTACGTCGAAGGCTGTGTGCGACAGCGTCCACCGCGAGTATGGGCAGGTCAGTCGTTCTGTCACCTTTTGCTTCGCCACTGTCCGACACCGATGACTGCTTCAAATTTTGTCAGAAAATGGGTCTTCCGCTACTCAGATGGGTCTATTAGGTTGCATCATGAATCAGTGACGATTTTTTTTGAATACCCAAGCCATCTTTTCGAGAAAGTGTTTGTGTTGCTCCCAGCTGAGGGAGATGTGGCGACTTTAGTATCATTTCATATTAGGAATTTGAATCGTTTGTACTTGCCTTGAGGGTGCTACAGTGCCGTTCATTTTAAATGATCTTCGTCACTGGCCACAGTACGAGTTCCATTTGAGGCGCTCAGCGAGCAATCTATCGTAATATTTGAGAAGTCGAATAAGCATACACGTTGAAAAAGAGGATCTGTCTAAAGTGGTTCGGGAGCTATGGCGGAGGACTACAGTCTTGAAGGCAAACCACGTTTAGGACACCTATATTGAACGAATACAAGAGCTTCTCGAAAATAACCCTTGCGCCAACTCAACCTACATCACCTGTCTCGACTTCTCCTGGCGAATTTCGCCCACACAGCTCGACTTTGAACCGTCCAATCCGGTCTTGCGCACAATGTCTCCATTGTTGCACGGGCATTTTTACAACCGGATCGGGGCACGGTGGCATTGTTTACAATCCCGGATCACGCCCATTCATTTTTTGCTAAAGTTGTTAGAAATGAATTCGCGAACAGCCTTGGCGCAGTAGCTGTCAATTGCAGACTCACCTTCGCAGGCACTATGAGTTCGGAGCCCTTTCTGGAACGCTATATTTTGTGGAGCGAGTTCAGTCAAGTGCCACCGAATTTATGGTCGGTTGTGGAGAGAGCTTTTCTTGTTCTGATCTAAGCTAGGCTAGCTAGGTTCTTTACTGCTTAGTTGTCATTTTTTGAAGCCTTGAATACGGCATACTCCAAGAGCAAATTTGCATGATTTCCTTTTTCTAGCTCAAAGCAGGCCAGTATGGAGAGGAAGCAGGTCAAGATATTATAGATGCACTTGGCTGAGATTCGCAATAAATATGGTCTGAAGCAATTGTTCAAAAAGCTTTTGTAAGAATAGTGAGAGCCCCAAAGATGATGAGGGTGGTGGTCGGAGATTGGACAACGCCAACGATTAGCCGAACGTTCTAGTTGAAGCACGTTTGCACAGAACTATTGAGATAGGCTTCCTCCTAAGCTGATCGCACTTACACTGTGTTGTACGGGAAGAGCTGGAAAGTCACAAAAACCAAATAGGGCGTGCCGCGACAGCTCATAATTTTCAAGGGTCGTTTGCCGCTTTCTAGCTCATTTTATGCCATGGGAACAACCTGATTTTTTAGATTTATTTTGCAGAACGTGGCGATGAAAGAAAGGATTCTTTGCTACAGCGTGCGCACCTTTGGTGAAGTGATCGACCGTGATCAGGCTCTTCAAACTTTGCAAAAGTGAAGCTTCATTGAAGGGAGGTTGAGGTGACTTTCATAAGGTTAGCGGCTGGTTTGGCTTTTCGGCACCAGATTAAACAGTCAGTGTGAAAAAAGTACTGTTGGCAATGTGTCAAATTACTCCTGATCTCTAGCACATAAGCTCGATATTCCTCATTATTAAAGGAACCGGCTCGTCCTGACAGGTAGCTCGGACGCACATCGCACAACCAACCCTGCAGAAGTTGAACCAGCTGAGCCACAAATTAGTGCTTACTTGTTCATTTCCTACTCGGTAGACCTTTTGCCTATAATTTGTCACTTTCTCGACTACCTGGATAGCTTCTCCAAAGAGTTATGCTTCAAAAACCAACATGATGCGGAAACGACCTCCGCCGGGTTCATCGTCTCTAGAGCTCCAGTATTCCTATCCAAGCTAATTTATTGGCCGAGGTTTGCGGGATTTAACAACTCTATCACTCCGATCCAAAAAAGGTCGAATGTAGCCAGATAAATGCATGTGAATCATGTCGAAGCGCAAGAAGAACTTCTTCAACGACCTGAGTAAGTTCCGGAAGATGAGGATCCATACAACTTTGAAATGAGATTTGCGCGCGAGGACAATTCGCTGTGAATAGCTCAAAGGTTGTCTGTCTCCGAGTCGTCCCGTTGATACTTACACTTCCAGCCTTGAGTCAAGAAGTCACTGGGCGTGAAGTCTCTTCGACCAGCATACGGAGTCATTAATGGGGACGTGCAGCTGAACAGCGACAATGAGCTCCAATAGGTAGCCTCCATCCGAAGTAGGTCTCGCTCTACGGCGGTTGAATGGATTCATTACTGGCATCACCGATTCCACCACTGCATCGCAGACCTTCAGCTGCGCAGTCCTTCAGCTATCACAAATGCTTCGGTTATCACAATTGTGGGTTGCAGTAGATAAAACTGTTGCACTTTGGAACTACTGCACTTGCACCCACCTGTAACGAGTGAATGTAGTATGCTTATAGAGACTTGGCTTCATGATTGTCTTCCGTTCTATGTACTTCCCTGATGGTATGACACCAATCACTTGTTACCCACTCACTCCTGTCAACCTCGAGAAAACACAGCGATCGGGTACGATACCTCAAAGGGACCTCCAATTATTCGTCGCGTCGGAGACTGCATAGCTGTGAGAAAAAGGAAACCATTCTCTCGCGGATAGATGGAACACTTCTTGGACAGTTGGGTGAATATGACACTTAAAAGAGGGTTGGTAAGGAAAATGGAACTTGGAAACCAATGTCAAATCGGCACTTATTTGTGACTCGACCTAATATTATATAATCACTTTTTACCAATGTGAGAAGTAATCCCTTTTGCATATCAGTTTACTGAACATGTATCCAAGTGTGGGCCATGATTCGAGTTACAAGTTTAGTTCTAGAAGCTTATTTATCCGCTCAAAACCACAATATGTAAAATAGAACATATTTCATATTTCAGAAAGTGCACTGCATGTTCGCAAACGTGGCCGGCTATGAAGAGGATTTGGACTGGGGAGAAAAGAAGTATATTGATTTTCTGTTGCTCAGACTTCAGATGATGAAAGCCCTAACAGAAGTGAGCTTAAGATCCTTTAATTCATGTGCAGTGTCAATGTTTGCCTAGACACCTGTTGTGAGAAGTCTTCACCACCGAAAGGTGATGGCTCGGCATGAGTTTTGATCGCTTTGTGCACTCCTTGCACGAAAACCAGGCTTATTTTATCAAGATCAGAATGGGGCGGATGTAGTTTAGTGGCAAGTAGCGTTCTTACCCACCCGCACGGTCTGGAGTGCAAACCTCAGTTCGAAAATCGCCCAGGTTACCATTCGCTTGCCTACAGCTTGTGGTTGAAACAAGGATTATTGTGATAAAATAGGCGGGAAAAGCGTACTGCTTCTGAAGTTAGACCCGGTAGAGAGAGTGGTTGGATAGATGAGAAGAAAGCAACAAAGCCCGATTACTCCTCGACCAGAGACCCTCCCCTATTTACAGCATTCCAGTGTGGATAGAGAGCAGCGCGAATGTGAACGGTGGTCAAATACCTAACTCTAGTTGCCCACAGTGCATACATTGGTGGATTCGCAATGGGGCCGCTGCCTCAAATGCGCCTGCGCTTTCCAAGCACTGCCAAGCGGCAACAAAAGTGGAGGGTGGGGCTCGCGGACGAAGGTGTGCGTTGCAGGGGACGAGCTCCTTGCGCCTTTTTCGCGCGCTTTCAAGGCGGCGCGTCATTGTCCGCCTGTCTACTACACCTGGAACAGGCGGGCGTGCCTGGTCCCGAAGCCTGCCTTCAATTGGTGTCGTACTGTGGGTCTGAAAACATTGAAGACATTGGCTGGCCAGCAAGCGAGCAGGGGTCATTAACCGCATTAAAATTGGTTTTGACATATATACAATTAGTATATATATATATATATATATATATATATATATATATATATATATATATATATATATATATATATATATATATATATATATATATATATATATATATATATATATATATATATATATATATATATATATATATATATATATATATATATATATATATATATATATATATATATATATATATATATATATATATATATATATATATATATATATATATATATATATATATATATATATATATATATATTATAATATATTATATATATAAACACAGTCAACTACTAGGTAAGCACCACTGAGCCAGCAGTAGGGTCTGTGTTTAGGTTAATGAGATGCAACCTGCATCCGCCCTACATGTCTAATATTTCCGCTATCCCGCTTTTTTTAAAAGCCAAATTGGTGAGCCCCAAGTGTAGCTGTTTATATTCTCGCTGCTTTCATACTTATTATTTGTTTTTTTTTTATTTTTGGGCAACCTTGAGTGTATGTAATAAATAAATAAATAAATAAATAAATAAATAAAAATAAATAAATAAATAAATAAATAAATAAATAAATAAATAAATAAATAAATAAATAAATAAATAAATAAATAAATAAAATAATACCTTGAATGGAATTTCGTGGAACTGCGTGGCAATACAAGGGATGAAGGGACCAACGCTGAGGATTCCATTCTTCGGCTTTATTCTATAAGAATGTCCACAACATTATTTGCATTTACATATGTACAATACTGCGATCAATCGGGCTATTTCGAATTATGGGTATTGACATTTGACTGTTGAGTTTATCCTCTCTTTTAAGAGAGATAGCATTTGGTGATTGGTTGTTGAATTCAGCTCTAGGGAAGAACGCCCAACGACTCTCTGCCGGGGCCAGAATACCGTACAAGTCTGAACGGGAGCTTAGCAGACGGGTTTAGAAGAATCGTCAGGCTCGGCGCGCTGTTGGCGGACCGCTCAAAGCGAGCTGTGGGGCGTCTCAAAGCCGACGAGAAAGCCGCATCCTCTCGGCATAGTTCACTGTCCGACTTTCTGGTGTGATATCACGACGCCAGTGTTCATGACAACGCCGTCGAGAACAAGAATTGTTCGTTGAGGTGATGAAGAGGGCGCTTCATAAGCGACACGACGGATACCATGGGACAGCACGGGCGCGCACTTGGGGCTCTTACGGGCACACTAAAGTGTTTGGCTTTGTGACACAGTTATTTTCTTTCGCGTTAACCTGACACAAGTTCAGCAGAATCAGATTTTCAAACAGATTTTGAGAAGTGCCACTTCATTTTATTGCCAGATTTTTTTTACATTAAAAGAGGATTTCATGATAAGATCAAAGGTCGATGAGGAGGGATTATTATCGTTGGAAGGCAGGCGGGCTTCTATAGTGCGGCACGAAGTGCGTTCTGCAGCCACGGTGTGCCCTCCGGGGACTAACACGGCCCCACCCGTGCCGCTGCGCCGCCCACTGTCTAACTATCCCTCTGCGTAGGTCAGTGACCGCAAATTCCACTACTCTACCAGAGACGCAGGGTGGAACGCTCGCTCTGATGACGTCCATCGATGAGACTCACTCCAATGTGAAAATCAACGAGCCAAAAAAGAGCCCCTTTCTCAGATTCCGGGCCATTTTTTCCCTTTATACGGGTTTCACTGGTCACTTCTGCCCTTGTTTTCTAGTGAACTAACTTTCCATCGTAAACTCCGCCTTCAAACTAGGCTGCAATCCATGTGCTAAAAAAGCTCTGCTTTGACCACTTCTATCTCGCGAACATATAGTACAGCTATTATGTGCTATGCAATTTCTCTAGCAATTCATTTCTAGATGTGGTACGATCTTCTTTTAGTTGATGGTCCTGCAAATTTTCAAATCTTTGTTTGTTCAGAGTTCGGTACGTTTCGTGTTGATTGAGACTGACTCGACATGGTTTCGAGATCCGATAGGACTGTTCCTCAATGCGACTCTCATTGATGACGCCGACATTGTGACTTCAATCAAAGGAGTTACTCATGCTGTAAGTTATTACATATACCCAAGCTTCAACAGCAGTTACTGTTACATATGATCAAAACGCAAAGTTCTTCTCACCTGCCTCATTCATAGGATGATTCAGCGATAAGGTCGGAGGTCGAAGACGGGGAAAGACACCTTAAAAAAAAGGCAAGCAAGCTTTTTTAGGGTGCGAGACGGT